GATGTGGGGCTGAGGGACACGGTTTAGTGGTAGTTTGGGCAGTGTTAGGATGATGGTTGGACTCGATGTTCTGAAAGGGCCCTTCCAACCCAGACAATTCTATGATTCTATGCTATTGTGGCTGTTTCTCCGGGGCCTGTAAAACCAGATGGAAGGAAGCAGTCCCTCTCCATCCCAGTGGCCTCTGCTTCTCAGAGCAGTAGAGTGTGTCCACCGCCTTTACCTGGGGACAGAGAAGGGAAATCCCTGACACAAGAAATTACAGCTCCTTTGCAAAGAGAAGGGAAGGGGCTGTCCAGGTACTCGTGTGTGCTTCACATGTCCTTTGTTCTGCAGAACAAGAACGCCAAATGGGCAAAGAACCCACCAAGAGCTCTCCAGTCCCAAGGGGAAAAGCAAAAGCTATTTTCCTGCAATTACTAATGTTTGATGTATAACGTACATTTATACATCTATTTTTCGTCCAAGGTAGTTGGTGTCAAGATGCAGCTGATGCAGAGACATGCAACCTCAGAGAAAAGATGTCTCTTGCTGACAAATTTCAGAACAAAGGGAGATTAACTGTTAGGGATTGGAGTTATTTGCATACAATCTATTGCATTTCCAGGCAGAAAAGGTTAAAAAGAGGACTGACAAGGTTTAGGAACTATCTGTAGTTCAGTGAAGCCTTAAATCAAGTTAACACTCTCACAACCCGTGGGGGATTTGCATAATTTCCATAATGTGCAGCATGTTTTTTGCCTCCCGATAGAAGCCATCAGTTATGTAAGCAAATTGGTTGCATAATTATGCAGATGGGAGAATAAATTTAATTGATTCAACAGAAAAGCGTGCTGTTCATTTCACCCGGGATTTCCTTTAACTCAGGGTGGAATAAAATAAATTGGGAGAGGTAATCAGCGGGAGGCACTGCCAGATACCAGCTCCACTGTGGAGGGCACCCATTTTCAAACAGAGCCAGAGGAACCTGTCCCCCTGTCCATCCCTGCCCCGAGCACAGGAATTAATTCCTACTTTTTAACTAAAGGTCTCAACACTTCTAAATATCGCCACAGTATTTTATGGGAGTAGCGTTGTGGCTCTATCTGGTCTCCTTATTCCCCATCAGTTCCCAAGATACATCCCACCGGCTCAGAAAGAGCAGCACAGGCGTTTTGGAATGGAAAGCTTGTTTTATACCAGATAACACTAACATTTGAATAAGTTTGTATTCTGACTACCTCTTGTCCCCTACCAGAAGGAGAATTTTACTCATTGCAGTAAAGTTGCTACAGGCAGCAACTGAGCCATTTTCTCCTTGCGCCTTTGCTTCTGTTCTGGTCCATGGGCTGCAGGTGCTCAGAAAGTGGCACCAGTTTCTCCTGTCCCAGCACACACAATGGCACAGAAGTTCTGAGGCCAGTAATGTCAGCATTAATTTTTGACACAACTCATGACAGTAGTTGTTTCAGAAAAGAGTTATGAAGAAGGGATTAAGACTGAAGGCGGATTTCCCATCCCTGCCTCCCCTCCACCCCACAAAGATGCAAGATGCAGCTGGAAAATGTGAAAAAACAAAAACGTGAACTAGTAATTGCTCTTACTGTGGGTGCATTTTACTGAGCTGAGGAGTATGGCATTAAGATTTTGGTATTTAAAAGTTTGATTACTACACCAGGGACATATAATTTTACTATTTCTCCTCATGTGAAGCTCTCTCTAACAAGCACTAGAATTCTTCAGCAAACTGAGCGCAGCCCATGGGCCTGGCTGGAGCCTCCCCTGGAGCCTGCAGTTCGAACTGGAAGCTGGCCATGTCCACAGCTGGGAGTTTCAGCCCAATTTATTCATGAGCTCTTGCTACATTACGTGCTACGGCTGGTGAAAAACTGCACAGTCTGACCCATTTCACACATTCTTAACCTCCTCCTGCAGCGTATCATACTCTAGATTCTTGTAGTGGTTACGAGATACTAAACTCTCAACATCTACTTTGCCATTTGCCTATCCTCATGCGTACCTAAGAATATTAATTGCAGGGATCTAAACGGAATTAAATAATTTAATGACAATACTCACACAATGTTTTGGATACTTGATATAAAGAATAAAAAACGTTTATTAACATCTTAACAACCCCTCCAAAGTGTTCCCCTTAATTGCTCTTTACAAAACATCATAAAACTACCATGCTTCTATTTCCAGCTTCTCACCTCATCTCCGATGTGTGTTAAGAAACTCTCAAAACTAGCAATGCTTTGAAATAAAATGGTGGTTAAGTCTTCTGAACAGCATTGTTCTGTTTTAGTTACAAGAAACTGTCCATACCTAACAAAAGTAACCTTTCCAAGAGCATACCTTGTAATCAGTGAAAAGTGGAGAAAGATTTTCACAACGGGAATTTCTCATGTTTCTAACAACACACTGAAGGAGCACAGACCTAGCTACTGAGCACAGCGCAGGAAAGGTTTTTTGCACATTTCTCTGTCTCTCTCTGCAAACAGGTAAATGTGTTTTATTTCCCATATGAAAAATGAAATATATCGAACGAGTTGCTTAATCTCAAACACTGAAGTTTGTTCAGCTAATAAGAAACAGTAACATACCTGGGGAAAAGAAAAAATATGAATATTATCTACTGAGTGGCTGGCTCTGCAAAACTGCTTTGTCTCTGTTGTACTTAACTTTCTTCTTTAGTACATTTCCTCCATCTTTCCAGGCTTGTTTCCATTCCACATTGGGAGTTTTGTCCTGTTTAGCTCATGGAACTTCTGTCACCAAAATGGTACTGAGAATGTTGCTCAAGAAACGTTTCTGGCATTTTGATACTCATCAAAATGACCAGATTTTTATGGTATTTCAAGTGGACCCAGACAGTACAAAAATGTGAAATACAGTAAAGTTGTTTAAATTGCCTACTGGTTTATCATGGTGATAGGGAGAAACACTATCGACAGAAACACCAGATGCACTAGTTGTAACAAAACTTGTGAGCATTGATGTGGGGAGCTTGCTTTGTTAATATAAAACATGACTGAGATCACATCCTGTCAGCAGAAGATGATACTCAGGAGATGGAGCCAAAACATTGCACAAATTTTACACAGTTCCAAGTTAAGCTAGAAGGTCAATGATTAACCTCTGCCTGAAAAATAAAGCAATATTTGAATTTTTTTTGTCTGGGGATGATGTAAGTGAAAATTCAAGGTTGTTTGTAATGGAAAAAATAATGCTGTCACTAGAACATCCCACGCTTTGAAGCCATACAGATTACCAAGAGAATTTTGTCCTTCTGCGTCTCTCAAACACAGTATTAGCCACATCTGGTACCGCTTACAGAAATGTGGGATTTAGCCGAGGTTCAGATAGCCTCTGTCTAATTCCAAGGAAGATTAAGCTACAAAGGATCTTACAAAAAGTAATTAGCAAAAATGACTAAGTTTCTCACTGCCAGTTTTAGTTTGTTGAAACCTTCCAAAATTGCTCTTGCCATGAATGCTGGAGTGGCTGGAAGAACATCAGTTCAGATCCCTCATCTGAAACCTGACCACTTCTTATCCAGTCTTTCAGCTACTGGGAAACCAAAGCAGCAGAATCTTACTGGATTTGACCAGGTGGATAGCCTCACAAACAGCAGAGCCATCTTAGTGCATGCCAAGTGGTGGAAATCAAAGACTGTTTGGGTTATTGCCTGCTCTTGAAGAGAAATTTTGAGGCAAGAGGCTTTTAAAGAAATGCCATCTGATTGTTAGTACTGAACGTACCATTTTTTAGAAGGAAAGCAGATGAGATCCCTACAGAAGAATGATACCCTGCGCAAACGCAAGAGCCTCTATCCTTGCATTTTTTTGTACAGGTGGCACAGTAGGAAGGCAGTGATCTTGGTGGTCATTAGATTAAATCCTCTCTCTTCCAGCAGCAACTCTCCAGACAGAGCAGATGAACAGTGGTACTGAAAAGCATCAGGATATGACCCTGTAGAGGGTCAGGAATCCAACAGATTAATTGATCTGATTAACGGCATGGACCTCAAGTCTAGCGTGGCAACTCCCCCAAACTAAAAACCACTGACACCCCTCCACAACCATCCACCACTAAGATCATGATGGCTTTCGTGATTCAGAGGCATGAAGGACACCTGCAAGAATGCTGCTGGAATGGGGAAGAGACTTGTACTGCCCCAAAAGAGGGAAAGATTTTTCAAACATGGAGGGCTTACATCTCCATCTTCATCTCACTTATGGCAGAATAGCCTAAAAAACCCCCATGCACTTCTATACCCAAGAGAGCGGAAATTGTTTGCACAAGAGCTCTAAAGGGAATGGAGAGCAGGACCAAAAGAGCTGTATTATTGGCATGTTTGTGAGGGTGGGGAGCTCAGGCTCAGTATCAACATTGACAGAGGTCCTGTTTATTTGCCATGAGAGTTTTTCAATATGAAATGTTTGGTCCTTACTCAGGCTGCAGATCAGTAGATGAAGTGTGACTTACGCAAATCATGCTCCAAATCTGATTCAGGATTTGCAGGTGGAAAAAAGAAGAATTCCTGAAGAAGCAGGAATGCTAAAAAGAGCTTGCTAGAAGCCTCCATCTCATCTTGCAGTTGGCAGAAACTAAAAAATGGAGAAAACCACTTCCCTCTAAGAGCATAATCCAGGGAGAAAGCAAGTTTTCCTTTTCAGTGGAAGCATGCTTATATACAAATGTGAGGCCATATACAAGTTATTATCAAGACACAACTAAACCTTCAGCTGTCAGCAATTTGTGTAAACTCTCTCAGCTCTGTCAAGGAAGTCCTAAGTCAGGCATGCCTCAAGTCATTCTGCAGCTGTTTTATTCTCAATGCTTTTTACTGGGTTTTTGGAGTAAGGAAATTAAGATCTAAGGGGCACACAGATGGGACAATATCCTCACAAGATACCGTGAGGAAGATGAACTGTGACAATCTCTATAGTTAGGGGAAAAAAATTACTCATTCTGTGCTACTTTCTGCATTATCATCAATATAAGTATTTAAAAACACGAGTATGAAGCCTTGCTGTAAATCAGTAAGGCACAGTCTGAACCCAGTGGGAACTGCCTTTATTAATTTGCATTATTTTCAACAATGATTGCTTTAGCCATTACAAACCAAGTCTTTACTATTTAATGACTACTGAAACAGCCAGACTTTCCCAGCCCACTTCATATTCTCCTGAAGCCACCTTAGAGCAGATATAAGCTCCAAGCTGTAAACTTCTTCCATATTAACATTCATTGTCATATGCTTAAGAAAAAGCTTTGGATCCGATAAACGAGCCGCCAGGATCAGTCTCTCCACTGCTGCTTGATAGTCACTGTTACCCTGAACTGTCTGATCTTCACATCTGTAAGTGAATTTTCACAAATGCAAGATTAGGTACCGCACAGGCAGGCCCTGTCACTTGCCTGACTTTATATATAGGCACCAAGATTACAAAAAATTTAAAATAATGTCTTGTGTTCATTTCTCTTATAATAGATTATATTAGTTTCTGGACAAATTTTAGCTGATTATTCTGAAGAATTAAAAAAAAGTTAGAAAATATATATTTTTAACATATTTTACAGTAATGAAAGTGTTAGGATTTAATGCCAGTGCAAAGTTGGTCTGGAATATTCAAAGCATGTTTCATGTTCAACTCCAGGCTAGAAAATTCAGTAAAGGAATGTAAACCATTTTATGAACTGGACATAGCAAGAGTTCATGTACATGCTTGAATCCAAAAGTATTAGTTATTTTTGACATGTAATCACTTTTGGAATAAGGATGGGTCTTAACGATGTTTCTACAAGAGCAGAATCTACCTTGTAAGGAAACAAGCAGAGGTACAATCGCATACACATGAAAACAAGAGATAAAAAATTTCTCATTTATCAAAAGAACAAAATTAAGACAAGTATTTCTTGTAAGGGTAGAGAGGAAGGAAGACAGAGTACTCAAGTTTGAGATGCCCTTGTTCATCCTTCCTAACAAATGTAGCTTTTCTATGCAGTTTCACATTTTGATGCTGAGCCAGTCAATCTCAGAGAAAATGGGCTCTCGAAAAATAAATTATAGGTATAATCCAGTGACAGTGGTTGGTGGTTTATGGACAAAAGGAAAAAGCAAAAAACGACATTTTTATCTGAAAGTATTAAGTCTCACAGAAAGGGGAAAAATATGTAGCAAATTTAATATTGAGATACCCCGTATAAAGTGCAATGGCTTTGTGCATTTTCCAAAAAACAGCCAAGAATTGTTAGAGTTTTTTGAAAGGAGTAATGTTTTGACTGTGCCCTTCTACTCCACTGCTTAACCACAACACAAGAATCCACACACCAATTGTGAGAATACAGTACATTCAAGTGTGGTAAATATCCAGTTAAAGAACGTAGGTCAATATCACTCCAGAACAGTTACTTTTCTGCTACACACATGTAAAAAAGAAAAAAAATAATAATAAAAAAATTACTATTCTATAACCAGTTTAGAAACCAGATTAAAAACAAGTTGAAAACCACGCATTCTCTGTCCCAGTCAATGGAAAATAAGATCCCTCATTAATTACATGCTCACATGGATAAATACAATCAAAATGGTACACAAGTGAAAACAAACCTTTTCAGTATTATCTGAAGAGTCTGACTAATAGCCATTGGACTCTGAATAACACTGGCATTTGAAACAAGAAATATTTCAATGGCCAACAGCATCTCAACTTCAGACAGGGAAGATGGAATCGTCAAAATTCTGTGATATAAATTTCCCTGCAGTGGTGGGTAGCAACCCAATGATAAAGCACCTGAGAGTAAATGCAGAAACGTAAGGAATTAGGATTACCAATACTGAACATAGTTCTGTTTTCTTCAGTATGTGGCTAAGAACGTGGACACCCCTCTTCCCCCCCAACCTCTTAATGGATTTTATTATTTCATCTGTGAAACAGCCTGATTTGAGAACACAGCAAATGGTATTCACTCATAATATTCACTGTGGTGGTCTCCGTAAGTGGCCTGCTAACCACCACAACTCTATGACAGGAGGGAATCAAACAGTAAATTATGTGACAATCTGGAGAGATAGGTGGACCCTATCAGAGTGGCACACCCAGTGTTATCTTAGCTCAGAAGTGGGGAGTTGAAAACAATTGCAGACTGTTAGCTTTTAGTCGAAAGGAACTGTCTTTAGGATAAACTTCTTAGCCAGACCTCTCAAATCTTAAATACTTTTACTACCACAGTTCTTAACAGAAATGTAAAGAAAACTAATTTGCCTAGATAAAAAAAGTGAAGATGATGCACTTTTTAAGCATTTCAGGGTTCACATTTCTGAAATGCTGAAATAGAATGTAAAAAATTAATGTTATTATTATATCAAGTTCATGCCAGGTAGCATGCACTGATTTGTATTTTCAACTGTCACTACTTCCCAATAAACACTTTGGTTACAAATTCCTGATAGTGACACAGAAAGTACTGTTTTCTTCTTACAAAGTATATTCTTACTTATATTTCTCCCCAACACACTGAGCTGTTACGAGCATATGTTATCTAAATAATAAGGGAATGATATTGTTTAAGAAGCAACTTACTTTTGTAATAGGTCCTAGCTTTAGACCACAAAGAACTTCTTCCCAAAGCTGTGATTAATCCTCTAAGTAGAAAAATATCTATCGCTATATTTTTTGAAAGCATGAAGTCTACTGCAGAAGATGAGACTCCAAGGTTCTTGCTCTCAAAACAGGCATTTATCAACTTGTTAAAAAGGCAGCTGTACTGAGAAACATCTACAGTATCTGAAATGAAGAATATTAGCTACTAAATTAAGTGAAATACAAATCTAATTGAAGAATCGCTTCTCAATCAGTACCTAAATCAGGACTCTCACTTCTAACAGCAAAATGGAACAAGGTTAAGATCAACTGCAGTAATGCTTTATTCATCATATGTCTTTTCATACAGTTAGTTCATTCACATTGTGAAAGAGAAGTGTTAAGGTCCAAGTGATAAATTTGCTGCCAAAACCAATAGGGTCAGATAAAAATATATTCAATTGCCCAAGCCTATAAATACAATCCTCACCTGATGTCTCAGACTTAAAATTTGCACCAATAAAAAATCACCTTTGTGCTTCAAGTTCCACCTCATGCCTCAAAGGACTAGAACCTTTTAGGATTCTCCAAGTAGGTCATCTTCCAACTAAGCTCTCCTAATGCACCTAAAAGCACACACTGGCAATAGGAGTGCGACCTACACACAGAAATCAGCTGAGGTTTCCTCAGTGGAGCTTAATTAAATACACATCTCCTCTTGATGTACACACCCAAAATTTTTCAGACAAATTAAGCCCAAAAGAGCATTCAGTTCTTAACATGGTATGTAAATGAAGCCCAAATTAGCTAGCTCAGTAACAGAAAAAAACAATGCATTAATCTGAAGACAAAACGAATTGCCTCAACTATTTTACCTTATTATAGACTTTATAGTATAGACTGTGTATGATCCTTAAAAATTTAGTGAATCTTTCCTGTTGCCCTGTGTAACAGAGCCAATTTGAAAAAGAGGACAAGTGTATAAACTGTGTGTGTGTCTGTGTATGTGAATGTGTGGCAACAGCAGCTGAGTATAATATATATTCTAAATGACCCTACACTCTGGAAAAAAAATAAAAAAAGTGAGCTTGTCTAAAACCATCTTTCTTAGTCAAAACATTTTAGCTGAAAAACAAACAAAAAGAGCAGTACAGAGTCATCTGTTAAATTTTTAGCTTTTAACACAGTACCTTTTTCTTCACTTACCAGAATGATTTTGAAAGCCTGGTAAGTTCTGCAGAACTTCAAATGCCTGCCTGTATAAACTCTTCCCTAGGTATTTGTCCACTAGTGTACACAGCAGATTATGTCGATTGAGGATGTCCATTTTATCACAGGGCCACATTGGTGCATTTGTGGTCCACTCTGACTCTGTGGCAAACAACAGCGCAGGGTTATTTCTATGAACTGAAACTGCTGGACGCTGAGACTTTTGGCCATTAACAATATACTGTAAACTGCAGCAGAAAACAGATTTCAGAATTTCACAGAAAATGCAGTTCTAGTTATTAATAATTCGTTTCTTATCACCAATACTTCTTTGAACCTTTATAATGTAAATAAACCCTTTGACTAAAGACGGTTGTAGCAAATGGACTGCCAGTGGCATTTATGTGTGCATATAAATACATCTATACCTATGTACGTGTATAAAACTGAATAGCAAATTGGAGATCCTCAATATTACTTTATAGAACACCTTCTATTCTTCTTTGTACTTCTCAGTTGCTTCTCTTTTCAGCAAATCAGAATTCCAAAAAGCCAGTAATTATGTGTTATTTACTTGCAAAATACGGTACTATTCTAAAGCTATTTTACTACATGTGGATACTGTGAGGGGTAAAGAAACTATGCATTGACCCAAGCCTGAGAATTTTTTGAGATTGAATGTCACCTGGCTCAAAGGAAATCTGCATGCCAGAAAGTCACTTTCTTAGCTGCACCTCTCCCTTATTACAGTAGGCTTTTGAGTAGAATGGTGTTGACAGACTACTGAAAACTTTTCTGAAAAAAAATTGGTATTAGCCATAATATCTCCTATACATATCAAGAAGAGTACTAACCATGTCCCAGTATTATTAACTTGTAACTTTTATCTGAAATAAAGATAGGAGACCATTCAAATTTAAATAAAACCCAATTTTTTTATATGACAAGCTTACCTCTCAATACCCACATTGCTCCATCCAAATGTCCAGTTTTAAGAAAAATTTCTGCAGCTTTATTAACAATTTGACATCTTGATGCTAACCTCTCTGCACCTAGAAGACCTTTCAAGACTGTAAAATGTATCTGCATCTCACACAATTTATCCAAAACCTTCCTTCCCTAGCGTAGGAGGGAGAAGGGAAAGGGTCAGAGAAAGCAGTGATATCAGTGAACACAAAGTGTATTTACACAAAATACAGCAGATTTAATTCGGCAATACAGCTGAATAGGCATCACTTTAGTTATTCAAAATGAGACAAGGAAAAAAACCCTGTAGTAAAATTTCTAATGAATAGTAAGGTTTTTTTGACTGTGTAGGCAAAAAACGCCACCAACCCATTGTTGAACTGTTCCCAGCACACTATTCCCCATAACATTATTTCTACAGTTACTATACAGTATTTTAAATATTTTCAATATACTTTGTAATGAATTTGTATTTGATTACTTCAGTATATTAATGTTTTTACTCTGTTGATTCTATTCAGCACTATACAACCTGTAAAATTCTAAAAAGGTTATTTTCCTTTTGCAGCAGAGGCATAATTGTTGAACTGAAATAATTACTCTGGCATAAGCCAAAGAAAACACTGATAGTTGGACCCAGAAGGACAATATGATGGAAGAAGTTGGGCCTCTCTGGCCAACAGTATAATAACCAACCAACAACTTTATCATTATATTCCAGGCTGATATTTAGACTGGTTTTCTACAGAAGCTTCCTCTTAACTTCTTGGTTGGCCTTTTCAGTCAAAGATGGAAAAAAGGTAGCAGTCTCTAAGATAATTAAGATCTGATCAATCTAAAAAAGATGAGGGAGTCAAGGTGGGATATCAAATTAACGTCCCCAGCATGGCAAGAACAGGCTGGATTCGGCACTTGTCCTGTCTGGCTGCACCTTGCTGGTCAAACAACAGACAAACCTCTGAACTAGACATGTTTCAGCTCTTGCTGGCCCATTGACACAAGATTAAGTTCAGAATGTGATCACTGACTAAAATACACTTCAAAATCATTGGTGGTTTATTTCTTATGTTGTCACTGGTCACGTTGCATTGTATAGGAGATGCAGCTTGGTACACACTGCATCCTTCCAGGAAGAAAAAGATGAATTTAACGTTGAAACGGATCTTGCTGCACTGAACTTCTGATCAATACTGCATGAGGCCTAAACAGTGTAAACCATGCAGTGAAAGGTCTAGTCTCTTAATCCTGGCCCTTTGTAATATTTGACAGCAAATAAAGGATTATAAAGGGCATTTATTTGTGAGGTCTGAGTCTTTGCTAGTCTTTAGAACCCTAGATTCAATGGAAGAAAAGCACTTTTAGAGATGTTCTGGGGAATAAGCTGTTCACCAAGTGCAGCAGCATCCTTGCTATGCTTTTCTTCTCTCTTCCTGGCCTTATCCATTCCATTTGGGGTCAGGTTCAGAAGCATCAGTGGAGGAAATTGCCCACTCAAACTTCTGTAAATATCGCTTGAGTTGGGAGGTCTCAGAATACAGCAATATTGCCAGACAGAAGAAAGTGACATTTCTGGGAAACAATCCTATCACCACCTAGTCCCAGAATCTCAGAAAGACCTGTCTCCTAATTCATCCTTAGCTCAAAAGTCAACAGTTGAACCTGAACAATCAAGTTTCTAGGTTGCAAGACAAAGTTATGATGGGCTCCATGGAAGACTGCTGTGGACGATTAAAAAGTACTAAGCTGGTTGGGTGGCGGGTGGCACATCCAGCCATTCAACTAGAGAAACAGTTCAACATTTAGAGAGGAAATGGTTCATTGTTTTTCTTCTAATCAGGTTCCTATAGGCCAGTATACCTTTATCCACTGCAGTACTTTGTGGTAAGAATACATTACACTTATTCCAATCCTTCCAATGAAAATTCTGTCTTCTTCATTATGTTGTGGATTTTTTATTACTGGAAAGAAAAAGAATAATTTTGAAAATTTATTTTACACGTAAATACAGTTTTAAAGACATGGCACACATGAAAAACACAATAGTTGTGAAAATATTAAATATACTTTCTGAAATACTTGCCAGTAAAAGCAGTAATTTCCTAAGTCTTAACACAAGAAGTAAGGTATATAACTATAGTTTATTCAGACAATATTTCATAGTGTTGTGGTCTAATTCATCCATAGGATGCTTCGACACATAATGGCATAATTTAGTAACATCATTATTTGTAAAGTAAAAGCTTTGCATTTTCTGGCACCATGAAGAAATGTTGGCAATTAGCAAACTGAGTATTTACAAATTTTTCCAACCTTATTACACAACCACTTTGGAAGCCTGCCGGTATTCTAGACCAGTGGTCTCCAAGGTGGGATGTGAGCACAACAATCCATCAGGTATGCAAAGAAAATATTTTTTGTACCATTAAAAAATTAAATGAAAATATTTTTTAAATTAGTGTCTATTTAATCTTCATCTCATCTTTTTAATTCAATTTTTTGTGTATGTTTTATAATGTGCTTAATGTATTAGTGCAGAAGTACATATACATTATTTATAAATAAAAATAAATAAATAAATTGGGGATGAATGCTCAAATATTTTTTACTGATAGAGGTGTTATAAGTTTGGAGACCACCCCTCTAGGGAAGATCGACTAAGTTCCAAGCCCCAAAGAAATCTTCTGTCTGTACAACTAGAAGCTGTAACAGCTGTTTTATAATATTAAAGCCTGTGGTCACAAAGGTCATGTCACATATCTTGAATAAATATTCATCATGATTTAGCAGTTAATACAGGTTGAAAAAGATCTGAGTCATCCAGACATTAAAATGCTTTAATATCTCACTGAGCATCAGTTTTCTGCAAACTTATTAGGAAGAATGATACAGATATGTAAATGAAGGGGTATAGGGAGGAAAGGGGTAAGAAAACCTGCTAGAACTATTAAAAAAAAGTAGGTGGTGTTTTGATGCCAAGACCTAGCAGAAATTCAAATGCTATACATGATGTAACCATGTTCAATGTGTTTCGAAATATATAAAAAATATATATAGCTGTACTTACAGATCTAAAGTTTCTTTATTCTATTAAGAGTTGTGACACTTCACGTGGCAACACTTAATACTTTTGCCTTTGTCCTGAGAACAGGACATTCTTATTAAAAGACCACCAATTTTGGTTTCTCTTCTTGATTTCACAAAGCTCAAATGTTCTTTCAGAAATTTCTTTAAGTGTAAGCACTATGGATTTTACTTTCACTAGCAAATGGGTTCTATTGAGCATTTTGACTGATTGCATTTGCAACTCAAGAAATTCTGAATATTGTAACATATAAAATTAAGTAATATTCGGAAAACAGTATACAAATTTTCTTTTTTACCTCTTAAAAAAATTCTACAACAAATAGGGATGAATAAAAAGCATTTATTGCATCTTAATTTTACCTGCATCAGCAAAATCACAAAAAGGAACTTCTGGTCTGTGTGTCTCAGAATCTTTGGTTAGTATTTCAGCAATACATAAAGACAGCTTCTGAAGATCATTATAATGTTCACATCCAGTTCTCGCATTAACATACAAAGCTCCCAGCTTCATCCAATCACTTTTTTCCTTGCAATGCTGCAAAGAAGGCAAGGGATAAACATAAGCGAACCTGCTTCCAGAACACCAAAGAGAAAATACAGTGAAATTCAAGAGATACAGCTGGGATAGACCTAAAGCAGAAAAAAGACGTAGATGAAATGCTACTGCCAGGAACTCCATGCTCAATATGGCACAGTTATATGTTGCCTAACTTGCATGGACTGTTAATCACTTTTGTCCCTCAAGAAATTAAAATCCTTTTTCCATTTATGTCATGACCCCAATTGGGGAAGCTCATAACTTATTCATCCCATTTAAAAACTGGCATTCATCCACTATTTTACAATTCTTTTTTCTCCACGATGCATGCCAAATTGATGGTTATTTTCCATATGAATTAGTCTTTTGCTCGCCAGATCACTTGATGACTTTGGTGTTAAAGGAGTAAAAAAACCGGTCATGGTTCTTCCCTTCTTAAATTTTGGTCTCAGGATTTATGCAGTTAAGTGTGATAATATGTAAACTATATTATAATTGTTATAATGTAATAAGTAATCTGCCCTTGAATATGAAAAATGCAAGTGTCCAATTAAATAATTTTTTATAATATTTTCTTACTCTTTAAAACACCTGCTTAGTGTGCCAGTTATGGCCTTTTACAATTGTGCTTTTTTTTATACTGAATAGGAATTCTATCTGCAAAATAATATATTAAATAACTTCCTGGTGATGAATGATGTACCACTACCAATTCCAAGCACAACAAATGTAAGCATAAGAAATAATTGCTAAAATTATAAAAATTTGAATTAGATGCAAAACCAAGATAAAAGCTACAAATATGTAAATTAAAATACTGACATCACAGAAAAGCCAAAGACTGCAAGTCTTTCCCCTGCAAGTTAATGTTTCCCAAACATGGCTTTGCATAAAAATATTTTATCATAATCTCAATATACTTAACAATAAAGGCCACTAATTTTAAAATATGTAGAAATTGCTATTTCTTGTAGGTTTAAAAAAAGCTGTGGTTTAAGTATTCCAACAGGCTTGAAGAATGCATATACTGTACCTGAATTTCAGCAACTGCCAAGTTGAAGTCAAAAAGCCAGTTCTTTTCAAAATGTCTTTCCTGAAATCTTCCGTAAGAAAAAAATATTAACACTTCATTTTAACACATCCTGTTGAACTAAACTACGCACTAGCAGAAGCTGATCAATAAATTATCATATATGAACTAAAAACTGATGTGATTTTTGATCCTATTTACTACACACTATGCAAACTGGATACTGAAACCAAACATGCCAAGGGAAGCCAGTACATTTATTAAGAAAATAATTGAGCAGCTATTTTCACAGAAAATATTCCCTTGTCTCAGTAGAAATGTAACTGAAAAGGTACGAATAAGACTTGCAATCCATTAAGTAAATGCAGAACTGTACGGTGTGTATTTCTGACATAAAGTTTAAAAAAAAAAAAAGTTATTTACATGAAAGAAAGTGCTGTTCATCTTCAAACACCTGGGTGCATAATACTCTACTCTGATGCTGCCATTGACACAATGGATGTATCTACCCAGTGTGATGCTATCATGTAAAGATACATAACCTGCACGTGAATGAACTAACGCATGTAGCTGAAGGAGCACAGCTGCTCAGTCTTCACAGATACAGGCTGTTTCTCAGTTTGTGCTGAAAACACATACACACTGAGGCAACCCACGAGGGCTCATTTCTTTGTCAACCAGATTCCTGATCTGAAAAGTGATAAAAATTACCTCCAACGTGTGTGGCAAGTTGCACTGGTAAGACACTCAGATCCGTGGCTGAAAGGTGTGCTATGGGAAAAGTATGAAACGCAGCAAAAAAGTTTCTACAGTGCTTTCACTGGAAGCAGTGATGGGTTGTATTCACACAGCAGATGCTGCCTGTTTGGTTTCCTCTAAGAATCAAAGGTTGCTTTACGAATCGCAAATACAGTTTCTCAACTTGTGTGTGCATGTATGGTGCATGTGATACAAAAAAAACAAAACGATCACAATCTTGTGCAAGTGAGCGGGAGACATCAACAGTTTTGGAACAGATCTGGACTGTGATTTTGCATTTTGCCCAGCATAATCCAGCAGTACTTAAAAAATTACCCTCCTCCCTAGTTGTGTTGGCACAAGTGTTTATGCAGTTGCACAGTAAACGAAACTAGAAAACCACTTCAGATTATAACTAATCCTCTTATTGCCTAGAAGGGTTGTTTCTTGCAGAAGTGCTGTTTGCTTATGCAGGTTGGAATGATACATTAAACCACGGTGTTTCTAACTTGACTACAGTTCTATAAAGCTGTAGCACAGCTGGGAACAGATTGTACAACAGTGTTCGATACGGAAAAAACTAATCATAACTGCGGTCAGAATCTCAGTTTTGACTTAACAATCCTTGATCTTTGAAGCACAGTAGACTGGCAGTACTTTAAAATACAAGTAGACATGATATGATAGTATTTTCATCCAAAACACTAAATTTGCATTTTTAAATTGACTTTTAAAGTTTTTACATAAATGTATAAAAAAAAAAGCCTGAAGCAGGAACTAGACAGATATAATTACAAAATAGCTCCTTAAAGACATACCTGGATTTTATGTTCAAAACAATGTTTATTTCCTGACTGGAAACTTGCAATTGGTGAAGGACCTTAATAATACGGTCAAAATGTTCAAACTCAAGGAACATACCAGCATCAATGAGCTGTAATAACAAACAGGGGGAAGACAAGTAAGCATACCAAAAATTGTGATCACTTACATATTTCCAGAAGCAAGTGGCAAACAACAGTGGGAAATGCATATCACAATGAATCTCAGTCAAAAAAAAGGGATAAGTGGAAATCCGTACCACAAAATCAGCTATTTTTTGCTGTATATATACAGCTATATAATACAACTTTTAAAAAATACTACTGAATATTAAAGTGATATGTTTGAGTTTTAAAACAGGCAAGGTATTTCAGAAATTCCAACAAAAAAGCAGTAGTAAAATCAAACTCATACCTTACGAAAAGTACTGATTAATGGAGGCACAGCATCTGTAATATTCAAAGAGGCCACATGCTCAAAAACTTTCAGAAGAACACCTACAGCTGGCTAATTTAGACAGAAAAGCACAATCAGTTTTGCAACTCTGTTCCATTAGAAAGCTTAGAATTTTTATAGTAGTAACTTTCGAATTACAGATCTAAAGTTTCTTTATTCTATTAAGAGTTGTGACACTTCACGTGGCAACACTTAATACTTTTGCCTTTGTCCTGAGAACAGGACATTCTTATTAAAAGACCACCAATTTTGGTTTCTCTTCTTGATTTCACAAAGCTCAAATGTTCTTTCAGAAATTTCTTTAAGTGTAAGCACTGTGGATTTTACTTTCACTAGCAAATGGGTTCTATTGAGCATTTTGACTGATTGCATTTGCAACTCAAGAAATTCTGAATATTGTAACATATAAAATTAAGTAATATTCGGAAAACAGTATACAAATTTTCTTTTTTACCTCTTAAAAAAATTCTACAACAAATAGGGATGAATAAAAAGCATTTATTGCATCTTAATTTTACCTGCATCAGCAAAATCACAAAAAGGAACTTCTGGTCTGTGTGTCTCAGAATCTTTGGTTAGTATTTCAGCAATACATAAAGACAGCTTCTGAAGATCATTATAATGTTCACATCCAGTTCTCGCATTAACATACAAAGCTCCCAGCTTCATCCAATCACTTTTTTCCTTGCAATGCTGCAAAGAAGGCAAGGGATAAACATAAGCGAACCTGCTTCCAGAACACCAAAGAGAAAATACAGTGAAATTCAAGAGATACAGCTGGGATAGACCTAAAGCAGAAAAAAGACGTAGATGAAATGCTACTGCCAGGAACTCCATGCTCAATATGGCACAGTTATATGTTGCCTAACTTGCATGGACTGTTAATCACTTTTGTCCCTCAAGAAATTAAAATCCTTTTTCCATTTATGTCATGACCCCAATTGGGGAAGCTCATAACTTATTCATCCCATTTAAAAACTGGCATTCATCCACTATTTTACAATTCTTTTTTCTCCACGATGCATGCCAAATTGATGGTTATTTTCCATATGAATTAGTCTTTTGCTCGCCAGATCACTTGATGACTTTGGTGTTAAAGGAGTAAAAAAACCGGTCATGGTTCTTCCCTTCTTAAATTTTGGTCTCAGGATTTATGCAGTTAAGTGTGATAATATGTAAACTATATTATAATTGTTATAATGTAATAAGTAATCTGCCCTTGAATATGAAAAATGCAAGTGTCCAATTAAATAATTTTTTATAATATTTTCTTACTCTTTAAAACACCTGCTTAGTGTGCCAGTTATGGCCTTTTACAATTGTGCTTTTTTTTATACTGAATAGGAATTCTATCTGCAAAATAATATATTAAATAACTTCCTGGTGATGAATGATGTACCACTACCAATTCCAAGCACAACAAATGTAAGCATAAGAAATAATTGCTAAAATTATAAAAATTTGAATTAGATGCAAAACCAAGATAAAAGCTACAAATATGTAAATTAAAATACTGACATCACAGAAAAGCCAAAGACTGCAAGTCTTTCCCCTGCAAGTTAATGTTTCCCAAACATGGCTTTGCATAAAAATATTTTATCATAATCTCAATATACTTAACAATAAAGGCCACTAATTTTAAAATATGTAGAAATTGCTATTTCTTGTAGGTTTAAAAAAAGCTGTGGTTTAAGTATTCCAACAGGCTTGAAGAATGCATATACTGTACCTGAATTTCAGCAACTGCCAAGTTGAAGTCAAAAAGCCAGTTCTTTTCAAAATGTCTTTCCTGAAATCTTCCGTAAGAAAAAAATATTAACACTTCATTTTAACACATCCTGTTGAACTAAACTACGCACTAGCAGAAGCTGATCAATAAATTATCATATATGAACTAAAAACTGATGTGATTTTTGATCCTATTTACTACACACTATGCAAACTGGATACTGAAACCAAACATGCCAAGGGAAGCCAGTACATTTATTAAGAAAATAATTGAGCAGCTATTTTCACAGAAAATATTCCCTTGTCTCAGTAGAAATGTAACTGAAAAGGTACGAATAAGACTTGCAATCCATTAAGTAAATGCAGAACTGTACGGTGTGTATTTCTGACATAAAGTTAAAAAAAAAAAAAGTTATTTACATGAAAGAAAGTGCTGTTCATCTTCAAACACCTGGGTGCATAATACTCTACTCTGATGCTGCCATTGACACAATGGATGTATCTACCCAGTGTGATGCTATCATGTAAAGATACATAACCTGCACGTGAATGAACTAACGCATGTAGCTGAAGGAGCACAGCTGCTCAGTCTTCACAGATACAGGCTGTTTCTCAGTTTGTGCTGAAAACACATACACACTGAGGCAACCCACGAGGGCTCATTTCTTTGTCAACCAGATTCCTGATCTGAAAAGTGATAAAAATTACCTCCAACGTGTGTGGCAAGTTGCACTGGTAAGACACTCAGATCCGTGGCTGAAAGGTGTGCTATGGGAAAAGTATGAAACGCAGCAAAAAAGTTTCTACAGTGCTTTCACTGGAAACAGTGATGGGTTGTATTCACACAGCAGATGCTGCCTGTTTGGTTTCCTCTAAGAATCAAAGGTTGCTTTACGAATCGCAAATACAGTTTCTCAACTTGTGTGTGCATGTATGGTGCATGTGATACAAAAAAAACAAAACGATCACAATCTTGTGCAAGTGAGCGGGAGACATCAACAGTTTTGGAACAGATCTGGACTGTGATTTTGCATTTTGCCCAGCATAATCCAGCAGTACTTAAAAAATTACCCTCCTCCCTAGTTGTGTTGGCACAAGTGTTTATGCAGTTGCACAGTAAACGAAACTAGAAAACCACTTCAGATTATAACTAATCCTCTTATTGCCTAGAAGGGTTGTTTCTTGCAGAAGTGCTGTTTGCTTATGCAGGTTGGAATGATACATTAAACCACGGTGTTTCTAACTTGACTACAGTTCTATAAAGCTGTAGCACAGCTGGGAACAGATTGTACAACAGTGTTCGATACGGAAAAAACTAATCATAACTGCGGTCAGAATCTCAGTTTTGACTTAACAATCCTTGATCTTTGAAGCACAGTAGACTGGCAGTACTTTAAAATACAAGTAGACATGATATGATAGTATTTTCATCCAAAACACTAAATTTGCATTTTTAAATTGACTTTTAAAGTTTTTACATAAATGTATAAAAAAAAAAGCCTGAAGCAGGAACTAGACAGATATAATTACAAAATAGCTCCTTAAAGACATACCTGGATTTTATGTTCAAAACAATGTTTATTTCCTGACTGGAAACTTGCAATTGGTGAAGGACCTTAATAATACGGTCAAAATGTTCAAACTCAAGGAACATACCAGCATCAATGAGCTGTAATAACAAACAGGGGGAAGACAAGTAAGCATACCAAAAATTGTGATCACTTACATATTTCCAGAAGCAAGTGGCAAACAACAGTGGGAAATGCATATCACAATGAATCTCAGTCAAAAAAAAGGGATAAGTGGAAATCCGTACCACAAAATCAGCTATTTTTTGCTGTATATATACAGCTATATAATACAACTTTTAAAAAATACTACTGAATATTAAAGTGATATGTTTGAGTTTTAAAACAGGCAAGGTATTTCAGAAATTCCAACAAAAAAGCAGTAGTAAAATCAAACTCATACCTTACGAAAAGTACTGATTAATGGAGGCACAGCATCTGTAATATTCAAAGAGGCCACATGCTCAAAAACTTTCAGAAGAACACCTACAGCTGGCTAATTTAGACAGAAAAGCACAATCAGTTTTGCAACTCTGTTCCATTAGAAAGCTTAGAATTTTTATAGTAGTAACTTTTGCTCTTTTTTCTCCCAAGTTTGAGTACCAGATTAAAACCAAACTTATTACTACAAATGGCAGTACTCAAAAAACTAAGAAAATATGGATCAAAGATTTTAAAAAATATAACAAGGTCACCTACCAGTGTATTGATTTGTACAGTTACATTCAATAGGTGAAATACTTCCTGCAACAAAGAGTTCTCAAGCAAAGAAATGAGAAGATCATTCAGCACTTGAGAAGCAAAATCCACACCGGGAGTAACTTCTCTGTAATATTTCACAAATATTTGGGCTGAAAAAGCAATTATATTAATTTCACTTTGGGGTAACTGATGCTAACTATTTATACAAGTTATTTCCTTAAATTTTAAATGCAGTATAGCAACCCTTAATTATCCAGGATATTATGGGACAGGGATATGGAGAAAAATGGGTAGAAGGATCCAGTTTGAATACAGTGTTAACCTTACTAGACCCTGACTGACTCATGTGATTGAGCTGAACGCCGTAAGCTTACAGGTTTCAAGAAAAGTTTAGCTGGTTTGGTGCAGCGCAAGAAAAATGCACAAAACCAGGTTAAATTTCATAAGCACATCAAGACACGAAGCTCTAGGAGGCAGAATGCAGTGTTATGATGGTGGATGGTCCTACAACCTGTTCCAGTGCCAACCTTGACAGACTGGTACTGCAGCCTGCGGGTACCCAGCGTTATCTGTCCACAGCTCTTCCAGACTGAACTCAAAATCTCAGATGGATCTGATCAACTACAGTCCCTAAAATGTGTTAACCACAATTGTTTGCAAAGATGGTAATGTGAAAGGATTAAAGCTGTTTGGGTGCTGTAACAGCACTTCATTTCAAAAACTTAATTCTAAAGTTTTTGGATTTGTGATGTTTGGCCAGGGTATTCAAAAGTGCCTTAACAAAATTTTGGTTATGTTAAACCCTCCCCCTGCCCCAGTTACTCATTTCTACTCTCAAGTCTAGTTCCAGTCAGGCCAAGTTAATTTTCTGTGGAAGTAAGATTTATAACAACCTCCTGAGATAACTGTATCTAAATACCTAGCCTCAATGGGAAACTGGAACATGAAAACACATGGGATTGGATGTATTCCTTCGAAATCAGAACTTCTTATTCAGTGTTGATGGCACCCGTTTCTCTCCTGACAGCCTATTTATTTTGCTTTAAATAAGCTAAGTATCAAAGATACATCAAAAGCCACTACTATGTCATACCTGCACGTTTTAGAAGGCCTGATTCTTTGATACTAATGTATGTCCTAAGTATTGCCATGCAAATCTAGAAAAAGAGGAAAAAAAGAAAATCCATAGTAAAACGTTACCTCAGTTTATGCCAAACAAAAGAAGTACCCACAAACATGAATTCTATAAGGAAATAAGCCTTACATTACTGCTATTTAACCCATACATACCAACAAACGATGTAAGAAGGTAACTGGCTCTCTAGGCAAAGGCACTGTCAAAAGGACAGCAAATCAAACAGAAAAATAACATAGATGAAACATATGGGAAAGGAGCTGCTTGGGACACAACTGCACACATGTGGGTGATGCACGTGGGTACATGCTCGTAGCAAACAAAAAAAAGAATCTCAAAATACAGTTACTTTGGAATTAGTATAGATGTGGCTGACTGTCAACAAACAGAAAGGGAAGCAAAAAGCTGAAGGTGAAAATATGATAAACAAAAATTACATGAATGCACCAACTAACAAGTAAAAAAATAATCTAGAAATGAAGTTGGTAACACTGATCGTCACAAAGAATTACTTATAAGGAGACAGAAGAAAAAACTCAGAACTAACTTGATTTAATGAACCATTGCACCCCAGACCTACTTGATTAAAAAAAAAAATTCCACACCTAGTTATTTTGAGATGTTATTTGATATTGGAACATTCTTATCTTAACATCTTAAGCTGCCAGCTTTGAGATACTGACACACTTTGCTCCATCTCTGTAGATGACAAAATAAAGGCTACTGATATTAACTCTTAGAATTCCAAGTTAGGGAAAAAAACACCTACCCTTTCAGACACCCTCTGTCACTTCTAGAACTTTTACAGTCTTTCTGCACACAATGTAAATGGGTCATATTTAATACTACTTTGTGAAATAATGAAAAATCAAGAGACAGAAAGCACCCTAAATTAGTAGTCTGTAATTACAGAATTGAGTCAGGTTTATTTTTACATGAACTTCAAAATTCAACAAGATCCACTCATGGAGTTTGCTACACAGCAAATGAATTATCATTGAAAAAGATACTGGCTTGTGGCCAAGACACGTTTCTTTTTTTAAAACCATTAACCTGTTCAGATCATCAAGTCAAAGAACAGAGAAATTGTACATGTAAGGTTGCTGAATATCAATAAGGCTTATTGGTTTTATTTTGAAACAGTGTCATAATGTTGTTGAACTACAGTCTAAGATAGACCTTTCAGAAAATCATGTAGTCTTTGATCATTTACACGCAGTGTCACTTGGCAATGGGTCAACTCATTTAATCCAAATCTACAATCCCAGGTGGCTGAGGGCATTTCCAAAACAAACTTTAGCACATGCTTACGGTATGTAAATTAGTTTGCTTTCTTTTGGAATCTGTTTTCCTCCTTCTTTGGACTGATTCCCAAAAAAAGCCAAGATTGCATCTGGAGCTCTGACTGTTCCAAGTATTAGTGAAATTGCTCGGAAAATCCAGTTGTAGTAGTATTTAATCATGGGACACATTACATTACATTCATAAAGGAAACTAAATGTGTTACTCATTTACAGCTTCTAGGAGGCTTCAGTTGATTTAATTGTTTCAATTTTAAAAGGTGTTAACTGAACCTACAGACCATGTAAAATGTGAGAATCTCTAAATTTTAAGTTAACCATAACAGATTTTGAATGAAGGTACATGAAAGAGACAATTCCCATTTTCAAAAGATAGTTCGTATCACACTATTCTGTCACCTATCAGTTGATTCCACAACTCATTTAACATGACAATTTAAAAAAACATAACAAAGGGCCGTGTATCCGTATACAAGCAACCAAATGCCCAGTAAAAGACAGTTCTACTATAGTAACACAGAGGTGCTTAAATTAGAAGAACAAACACCAGAATTTATGAAATCCTTCATCATCTCCCCGTTAGTGCACTCTGATGTTTAATAAGGGGGAAAACCCCATGCTGCAGCCCTTCGCCCAGTGAGATCAAAACCAGGATCCCTTTTAGGAGAGTCTGTTTATGAACAGTGGGACATCCGTGAGTGTTTATGAATCCCATGGCCATCCACAGTAAATGTAGTTGAAATTGACCAATAGGTTCAAAAATTATTTAAAGGTGGTGAATGCAGTACTAAAAGGACAGTGCAAGTCTCCTTTCTTTAAGAACCAGATTAAAAAACAAACAAACAAACAAACCCACAAAAAAAACCACAACAGAAGTATACACATAAGGCCCCGAAGTTGCAAGATGACATTAATGAAGATAGAAAACTTCCTATTTTATATCTTGTTTGTTTCCAGTTAGAGGCTCATAGGATCAAGGAAACAAGAGTAAGAAGTCACAAAAAGTAAACATTTATTTAGTGGATATGAGTCCAAAAAGTTAATGAATGAGGTGCACAAAGCTAAAATAAAATCAGAGAAATATGGTTTGCATAAAAACATGTTTTCAAACCACTGATCTAACTGTGCAATTATTATCTGTGCTACAGTCTGAAGTGCCATTCAAGCTGAACTGAATTTCCTGGAATTTTAATTCATACCCACTCTCTCTTGTCCTTTCACTGGCACCACTGAGAGAGTTCAGCTTCATCTTCTTTACCTCCCTCCCCCTCCTCCCCATCAGATATTGATACACATTGTTAAGATCCTTCCCCCCTCATTTAAAAACTTTGGGGAGTATTTAAAACAGTCTTAATAGTTTTGTTTACTTTGCCTAATACAAAAGAGATTTCACTGTCTGCATACCCACTCTCTCTTGTCCTTTCACTGGCACCACTGAGAGAGTTCAGCTTCATCTTCTTTACCTCCCTCCCCCTCCTCCCCATCAGATATTGATACACATTGTTAAGATCCTTCCCCCCTCATTTAAAAACTTTGGGGAGTATTTAAAACAGTCTTAATAGTTTTGTTTACTTTGCCTAATACAAAAGAGATTTCACTGTCTGAAATTAAAGGCATCTTTAAAAAAAAAAAATAAAAACTGGTAACTTGTAGAATTGCTGAGCTCAGGAGTATGCTGATTTTTCATAAAAAATGATGCTTTTATGAATTAAATCACTTCGGTGCTCAATGACAACCATGAAGAGTGTTAAATCCTAGTAAGTTATGCCTTAAAGCATCAACCAGTTGGTTAATGAAAAGGAAGGAATATCCATTATGGGGAAAGGTATTTCTCTTCAAAGATTCTCGTAACAATCATCAATGAAAACATAGCAGTAAGCAAGCAGACCAATCGGTGTAACAGTTCCCAAAGAGATTTATTTCCCCTGTATTTGACTAGATGACTTTGTCACAGCTTTACCTGTGTCTTCCATTTATGTACTTTGGTGCCACCATGAGGTGCTTGGCCTATTATAATTTTTAAATGGACAGTTCTAAAAAAAATAGATACATACACAAACAAACAAAACTCAGAGTATACTTCCAGGCTATCAAGAAAGTTAAGCTAGGTTTGGTGGGCAGAACAGTAAGTGTGCTAGAGTGCTGCACCACAATTAAAGTAAAATTGGATGGATTTTTAATAGTTTTAGGCAAATAATTTAATTTTTAATGTATCTGTAGATAATGAAGCATTACAAACCACAGTAATTCATACAAACTAGCTGAAAATTACTGACACTACAGCCTGCCGAAGATATTTCAGAATTGAGGAAAAGGGAAATTGTCCCATGCAAAATTACTCTCAAATCTTAGTATTTTTAAGCCATCATACATATCTTCAAAGGGGTAACAAAGCATTAGGAAAAAAAACCTGCCGAAGATATTTCAGAATTGAGGAAAAGGGAAATTGTCCCATGCAAAATTACTCTCAAATAATCTTAGTATTTTTAAGCCATCATCCATATCTTCAAAGGGGTAAAAAAGCATTAGGAAAAAAAAACCCACAGCTTTTTGAGACATAAAAAGGAAAAAAGAAAACATTAAGAAAGGTAAAACCAAATTACACTGATGTATTTTAAAAGTTCAGACAGTATATTTAAGAAATCAAGGAGATGGATGAGCTCCTTTAGATGCTACCTTTTTAAAATTTGTATTTGTGTCTAACAGGTTCACCACAAGTTATTTTTCAAATTTTTGATTCTGTAATCTCTTACTTACTGACGCCAATGATAAAATTGTACCAGTAAGATGGTAGATAAGAAATAAATCTTGACCTGATGAGGACAAGTTTAGGCATTTGTCCTTACTTTAATGTTTAGGGTTTTTTTTGCTTTTAAGTAAGTTACAGAATCACCTAGGTTTTGGTTTCATACAGCCAATTCCAGAATCTTATTACATGACAGTACAATTAGCTTGCCCTGCACAGTTCTTGGAAGTATTACAGACTCATAATTTCTGAGTTAAATGATCTGAAAACACAACTACTTTGCTCACCACTGGAAAAGTATTTTTCTTGCAAATATTATGAGAATTGTTGTGCCCTTTAAGGAGATTACAGCATCTTTAAACAAATATGCCCCTGTTGCATAAAACTTGCAGAAAGTAACACACCATAGATGGCTTTTGACTTTAAGAATACATAAAAAGTCTGGGTTTGCTTACAGGTCTCTGATGCTTGGGATAGAAATGTCTCAGAATCTCTCAATTCTACTACTCTATATAGCCTGATTCTGGCTCTTTTGCTGATGTCTGTTCTCTTAAAAAGCCTACTAGTTCAAAATTCTACCACTTTTCAAAAAAAGAACTTTAGAAGACCTTGAGAGGAAGAATTTCTGAACAGTTTTTTGATCCATCAATCTCTGAAATTTACTCCCTGTCCGTATATAAACGAACAAAGGAAAGGTCATTTTGTATTTAAAAAGTGTTCACACTTGCAATCTGTTCCTTTCTTCAATAAATCTCTTTACCTTTTCATCTCCTTGTTCAGGAACATGCCAAAACCAACATTTTGCTCTTTCACACCCACGCAAAGTCATGAAATAAAATTTGCAATATTTACGGGGCAATTCAATCGTATCGAGGATCTGCTGGACTGAATGAGAAGCCTAAAACAAAATAAAATAAAAACAAGCAGAAAAAAACGAACAGCATTTTTGAAAGCAAACATGCTCATTTTTTGGTGAATTCAGAATACCTACAAATTATAAATAAAAAATACATGATCTACAATTAAACCTTTGAAACAACCCTCATCTCTGTACTATATTTGCAGCAATTCAAAGTAGACCAGATCAATCACTTGTCATGTCATGTTAATGTCTAACACAACAAAAATCTGTCTTGAAGACCACAGACAGAGAGAATGCAAGAACTGCTAAATGAGACAGACAATGAGTAGAGAGGAGGAAGAAAAGTGACAAACTCCTCCATGGCTTTGGATAACAATCTGAGAATTCTGGGACATCAATTTACCCTTTTTTAGTGCCCAGCATAATGGATAATGTAGTCTGTCTTAAACAGGAAAACCTTGTGAAACCTTGTCTGATTTTCAGTTCTAAAAAAACAATAAAGCAAAAACCATTATTTGATTTTGCTTAAGCTGAAAATAAAAATCAAAAAGCCTTCACTGTGAATAGCTGTCCCCTCATTATTGATTTTGTCCTCAGTAATTTTATTTATTCAGTGATAATATCTTAAGAGGAGGAGAAACATAAACAGACATCATTAAGGATTTAACAACTCACAATTGCATTTTTTTCCATCTTCCATGGCTCACAAACTCCGTAATTTTGCAATGGCATTAAAGAACTTTTTCCTGAAAATCTGTAATCTAAAAATTAGGATGAGGGCAATAAATGGATCATATAATAAAACAAATCATACTGAATTCACTCTCATTTATCTTATTTTCCTTTATATTTATAGCTCCTTTAACTCACAGTAATGATTAATGAAAATTTGATTAATAAAATATAAAGCCAGTAATTTAAGTTACAGTTCTTTTAATTATCCTAAGACTTTACACAAACTTCAAGAGTAAGCACATTTACATTAAAAACTTCATTACTTCATCCAAGGTTTCTAATCTAACTTACAAAGATAAGAAAAAGAAATGGAATAAAAATATCCCAAAGTTTTAATTTCATAAGGAACCCCTCCACACTCTTTATCAGTAATCTTTGCATTCCCACACTGCTAGCCATAAACTATTTTTTAAACTATTAAACTATTTTTTCCAGAATTGAAATAAAACCTTTCATACCCTATGTTTTAAGCAGTGCAATATCAAGCCCAGTGTGTCAGTTACTGGTTTCTTAATCACCAAACTTGGGTTTAGAACTTTAATTATTACTGATAACAGATTTCTTTCTCTGACAAACGAATTATGAAAATGGAAGATGAAAGTTCAAATTTTCAACCCCATAAAGACTGGCAGTATAATCTGAAACTAAGCAAGAATCTCTGCCACTGATCTCAATTCAGGAAAGTCATGTTTATAAACATCCATATTAAACAATAATTCTAAAAACATTAATTCCCAAAACATCTGTTGCAAAGAAATGGAATGCAACATCTATCCATAAGTAATCAGTTCCTGGTTTTCTGTCTTCTTGTATACCAAGTAAAACTATGCATTTACGTATGGCTAAATGTCAGAGTTACTGCGTGCAGAGAAAAAGAAAGGTAAACTTTGACCACAGTTCCATTACGTTATGATTTCTCTGGTGGCAGAGACACTTAAAAGGTACCTGTCCCAGATGTGAAATACACCGGGTCAAAATGAAGTGCTGCTTATTAAATCTAGATCGTTTCCAGTCTAGTGAATGCCTCACAAACATTTGAATTAGCATAAACAACAAGTTCTGATCTTCGACAAGATGGGAAAATCCCTTAGCCAAGTTTTGCTGACAGACAACAACCAACCAAGAAAATCTGCAGTCACGTTCTCTGACCACAAATTAGGAAAAAAAAAGTCACTTGCCAATAACACGGCTCAAACACAATGTGTCAAAATACTGAGTGCAGGCATTGCTGCACAGTTAAAGAATCTGAAAATCATAAAAACCAAGACAAAGCAATTGCTATTTGACCCTACCAAATAGGATTCTGCTAAAAAACCCAACCCAACTCAATCAACCTCACTAACCTATCATATAACAGCTTGCATTTTGCTTCTCTGTATGCAAACTAAACAAATACCAGCAGTATTTGAATAATTTCCCTAAGATTTTGTAGGTAAACAAAACACATGTAAAAATAAGTTCTGGAGGGTTCACCAATACAGCACATGATACCATTTGTCCGGGGTTTCACCACTGTAGCTTCACTGAGGACATTTACTTTCGGGGGATGCAATGCCAATCCTGACAGCAACTCACGGTTCACAAGATCTTTGTATTTACAGTCACTGTTAGGTATTAAAAAACAAACATTTGTTTAACCAAATTAATCAGGTGCTTCTCCCGTACACTGAATGCCTAAAAAGGGGGATTAAGTGTATATAAGATGAGAATTTCTTCAGCAATTTATACAACGCTTAAAAACTTGCTGTAAATTTAAACAGCCAGTAGTCCAACAACTTTACTTCCGTTACTCTCATTGCCTGGTCCAATGTGATTATGATTTTAGCTGAGATTATTCTCTTCTAAAGTGTAATTCTATGAAATTCAATAATAAGTAAAAAAGGCAGCCATGAACCACTTCTGTATTTTTTCACTATGCTGACAGGAAGACTGAGATGATTTCTGTCTTCTCTGAAGAAGCATCTACTTCTCAGTAATCTTTTAAGTAATATTTGTCAAAGAAGTAATCCACAAAGCTTTTGAAACCACATTTGAAGAACCAACTGTTTTCTTTCCTAATAACTGACTCTACTCGGCAGAAGACTTAGGTGATATTAAAGGGAACTCCAATTAAAGACACTTCTGCCTTTAATTATTTCCAAATATGTACATTCCAGGTAATTAAACTACTAGACTGTGATGTTTTCCAAAATAAGCTACAAGTATTGGTCGCAAAACACTTAGTGATCTCTTTCTTATTTGCAAATTCCAATTAAAGACACTTCTACCTTTAATTATTTCCAAATATGTACATTCCAGGCAATTAAACTACTAGACTGTGATGTTTTCCAAAATAAGCTACAAGTATTGGTAGCAAAACACTTAGTGATCTCTTTCCTATTTGCAAATAAAGCCACAGGAAAAAAATCCAACCCTTTCATGAGCTATAAAGCCACAGGAAAAAAATCCAACCCTTTAATGAGCTCTTCCTTCCTTCTCTGCTTCAATTAAGAATCTATGTTCAGTACAAAGGACGTTTGAGGCTGCTTGCTGTTTGGAGATAAAAATAGACTTGCTATCCCCTATGAGGGGCACATTCTAGCTATTTAAGACTTCTCATAGCGATGATAATTCAAATATTTCCTAAATTGCAGGCTAATTTTAATACAGTTTAAAATAAGAATGCTACAGCAGAGAAGAACAAATTCTATCTAATAAACCCAAATTCTGTAATATTAATCTCTACTTTTATGCTAGTCAATGTATTGTATTGATCTCCAGAGTAAAAAAAAAAATATGCAGATCTAATTTCTCAAAATTTACTCAAAATAAACCCAAATTCTGTAATATTAATCTCTATTTTTATGTTAGTCAATGTATTGTATTGATCTCCAGAGGAAAAAAAAATATGCAGATCTAATTACTCAAAATTTTCCAGTTACCATGTAAATTTTTTTTTATGCTTCGTTGTAATGCCAGCCTCAGATCTGACACGACAGGATTTTCATAGCAGTTAATCTTCAGGATAACAATCTCAGTTCTCTTTTTAATGTAGACATGAAACTACACACAATTTTGCCAGGAACTGTAAACTATATAGCTTTACAATCAATTTCTTATTTTTAAGTAACAGCATCACTAGAAGCAGAGTTTGCTAAATAACAATAGTAACTATGTTTTCTTCTAGATGAAACCTTGCATTGAGTAAATTTGTTTTCTAATTCAGACTTTTTTGAGTAAAGCTAGAGAAAATAGTTTGACTCCAAATGAAGGAATAAATGCCTGTCCTCTAGCTGCAGAGAGCGCCACGTTTCAACTAAGGAAGTAATGCAGTATCACTTGCACAAACATGTTTTATCCAGCATAATCTACTCATTCTATAGCATAAAGAATTATTTATGCTACTAAAATAAATTTAAGTGGGTATTTTACCAGAAGGAGGAGCTTGGAGCTCTCTAGTGGATTAATGGAAAGATGCAATATTCTCCATTTAAGGGAGCTCTGGTACACTTCAAGTCTGTCACAGAATTGTGATTGGTGCTGGAAAAAAGCAATCCTCTCTTCTATGCCAGTTAAGATTTCTTGTTTATTGTGAAAATGACTCTGAAATACCTGTTATTTCTCTTCTGATTCTTAAATATTCCAACAGTTTTTCTACGAAGCCTTATTCCACTTCATTTTTGGGCTGATGTTGAATGGAAGTTTCTTAGTCTGACACTTTAAGTCGTATGTACAATAAACACTGTAAGCACAGCTTCAAGCTTGCAGAACAGTAAAGCACGTGCTTAACTCCATGTGCCATGTTTTTAAGTGCCGCCTTCTACTGCTGTTCAAATATTTGTCAGCCTGAATTTGAATGACATCTTTCAATTCTTTCATCACTTTAAAATGTCCCAAGAGGCAGAAAAGAAAGTTGAATAGATTTTTTTTTTTTTTTAAAGTTCTGGTAAGTGCTGTTGTGGCTAGAAATGTATCTTATGCTATACCCACATTGAGATGCCAAGGTAAGACACTGGCATATATTTTGTCACCAGCCGGAGAACATAACCTCTGTTGTCCTGTCAGGCTATGACTATACTTGTCTTTTACTTTACACAATGAAATTATATTATTTCACATATTTATTTTCTTCATCATATAGTCACAATAACAGAAAAATTCAGTTAAAATGCTGATGGTGTATTGTGAAAATGACTCTGAAATACCTGTTAGTTCTCTTCTGTTTCTTAAATCAGTTAAAATGCCAATGGTTTTTCTGTAAAAACATCCCACTTCATTTGTACAGTAACTGGGCAACAACATAGGCTACATGAAGGACACAGTATATATACCTTTTTTCAGCTTCACATGTTTTTTCTTGTTTAACGTCAGGCACTCCATCTCCAAACCTGAACTGTGAAGATATTTAAAATGTACTTTCAGATACAGCAAAGCACTACTACGTCTTTTATGCTTTACAGTACAGACTTTAAACTGTTAGTGATGGTGTGATGTGTTAGATGAAGGTGTGATAATAAAGTCTTGACTGTAAAAACTGTAATTTGGGCTGTAGGGTTACTCTTATACCGTCTTTTAAAATGGATACACCACCATTATACTCTGTTATCTTTAAAATTGTGATTTTTAATTGGAAAAAAGGTGATATGATTGTCTTCACTTTGCTTTGCTCCCACTGATAATCCCAGCAATTTTTAGGCCCACTGCCCAATTTTAACTGCGCCTGACAGATGTGTAGAAACCCACAAAAGCCATTCCATTGTTTAATGAAAATGTAAAGCTGTACTGAGGAGAAATCTAA